TGAGAGTGAGAGTGAGAGTGAGAGTGAGAGTGAGAGTGAGAGTGAGATCCCTACTCTATGGTGATGAGTTTGGTGCTCATCACTTTCACATCTTTGTTTGGTTCAGACCCTTGGACAAATGGACTGCTGTCACTGGGTGTGATATTTCCTACCATAACCACACAATGGTGTCACCAAAATTCACCAGTGCTTGGAACGTTTAACACAGAAGCAGAATTAAAGACAAAGTCCAGCACTCGTGACATTCACGTATACATTTATTAACATGTTATAATGTACTTACACTTCCCTTTGAAGCTACAGCTTTGTTTTCAATTGCATTATCCCCGTAAATTTCCATTTATTTGGGTGGTATTAATTTCTACCTGTGAAGTTGATTGTGTCCACACTGTGGTCACTAAAGATATGCTGTATGAATATCTTAACAGGAAAATGACAACGAAGCAAAGTACTTAAGGTTCTTTATTTTTTAGCCATTAACGATGTTGATGGATTTGCACAATTTCTTGAATCTTCTCGATTTTTGCAGCTGTTGGGATTTGATTCTATTTCATTCTGCGTCTCCCCTGCCTGGAGTGGAGACTGTGGCTGATATATTCTGGAATGCGTGACTTAATGCCACTCCGTAAATGGTCAGCCTTCCTGAAAAGGAGATTGGAATCATTTCTGTTTATGGTTTCACTGCTGAGCATACTGCAGGGCAGAAAGTACCTGCCTCAAGTTACCTGGATTGTGCTGGTTACCTGGTCACAGTCAAGGCAACACTTGGAATGTTGCAGTTGACCTAATCTCTGGGTTAGGGAGGTTGCCTGCTGTTGGCCATTCCTCAGGTGGACGTGTCTGTGTGCCTGTGTGTGCGTGTGAGATTGCATATGGATGAGGGTATGTATTTATATGCATGAACAAGTGCATCTACATACATGCATGTCCAGTAGTGTACACGCTTGCGTGAATTGCATATCCAGATGTACTCTTGCATGCCATGCATAGACCAGAGGATTGAAGACAGGATTGAACCCACCTCTGAAGCCCCTGTTAGTCACATAACTAGCCAAGAATCAAGCTGCAGGTCTGTATGCGTGGATGCTCCCAGGGGAGGTTGCATGGGTGAAACAGGCAATGCCAGTATTTATGGAACTGAGTCCCAGTTGGATCTGAGACTTGCCAGGATTGAAGCTGCTTAGCATAGTGGAAAAGTAATCCAATGGGCGAATATTGAGTAGTATTATTGAGAATATTTGCAATGTGGACTTGATTATTTTTAAAATAAAAGAACACTGAAAGCTTCCTTCATTATATTTTGGTCAAAATTCTGGAATTCCCTCCCTCACAACAGTATGTTTTCCTATAGTGTATAGTCCACAGTGGTTCAACAACACAGCTTGCCACCACCTCAGGGCCAATTGGAGATGAGTAACAAATACTGGCATAGCCAGTGATCATGTGAAAATGGATTGTTTTGTAAAACCCAACTGTGCTAGAGATGCACAGGCCCTCGTGTGTGTGTGTGTTGGGATCAGTGGCTGGTTCTCTCCCTAACACTGACTCCCTGGTGGCCCTTTAAGTTGTCACTGCATGATGTGCTGGATCCCTACTTCCCTTTGACACGATGAAGCCGGCAGACAGTGCTTGATTTAATTTATTTCTTTTTGAACAGTCTCACAACAAAGTCCTCCACTTCTTTCAACTCCTCACACAGCAACTTGCCTTATCCTTTGACCTCCCCTGGGGGGACGTGGTGGTGTAGTGCTCCTGTCATTGGACAAGTCATCCAGAGCTCCAGGCAAAGGCTCTCGGGATATGGGTTCAAACCCCATCCAAGGCACTGGTGGAATTTATACAGCTAATACATCTGGAATATAAAGCTTGCCTCCTTAAAACTATAATCAATTGTTTGAAAATCTTGCGTGTTCTGCTGAAGTCTTTTAGGTAGTGAAATTGTTGTTCTTACACAGTCTGACTGTGATCCCAATGGAACTGCAATATGGTTTACTCTTACTTGCCCTCAAAATGGCAAGCAAGCCATTATAGGGCATTTAAAGGTGAGCCACAAATTCTGGATGCCTAAATTCCATAAATCAATACTTGATAGAAGCACCCATCTCCATGTTCCCAGTGCTCTGGATTGCTAGTCCATTACCATTTTCCCATCGCTTCTTAAAGGTGAATTCAAGTCTGAGGTTGAAAGGGTTTTAAACTCTGAGGACGTGGGGAATAGACAGGATGGCGAGAGTGGAGTCAAGAGAAAAGGTCAACTAAAATCTTATTAAATGGTGGATTAGGCTGTGCTGTCCACTGTTGCTGCTATTTCTCACTGCCTTAGAAACTAGGAGCCATCTGGCCCTTTTGAGTCTGCTCCATCATTCTATCCTCTTATCGCAATATGATATTCCTGCTTTTTGCCACACCCCTTGATGCCTTTTAAAATCTAAAAATGCATCAGTCTTTTTCTCAAATATATTCAGTGACTTGGCCTCAACAGCCTTCTATGGTAGAGAATTCTACAAGTTCACTACTGTCTGAGTGAAGGTGCTTTTGTGAAGTCCATCCTAAATGACCTATCCCATATCCTGAAACTGTCTCCCCTGGTCCTAGACTCGCCAACTGTGGAATATGTCCCTCTTGCATCATCTGTCCAACCCTGTTAGAATTTTATATACTTAAATCAAATCCTCTCTCTTCCTGGTCTGGTCAGGCCTGGTCAAACTAATCTCTCCTCATAGGGCAGACAAGTATAAGCGTTTGCTGCACTCCCTCTGTGGCAAGTATATTCTTTCTTAGGTAGGGAGATCAAAGCTTAACACAGCACTCCAGCTTTAGTGTCACCAAGGTCCTGTATAACTGCTGTAAGATGTCTCTACTTCTGAACTCAAATCCTTGTCTAGTAATGCTGCAAAAACCGTAGATTCAAACTGCTGTAATCTGGACCAGGAGCCAAAATACAAATTCTCCACACCCCAAGGGAGCAAAGCAGCTTTATGTTTCAGGTGAAAAAACATTCCGGTTGAACCTTAAGTACCTCTTGTTGAGGTTGTCGTAAACCTGACCGACAAATCGTCATGATATCACATCCGTTTGCAGGAATCATGGCAAGCATGGGCTTGAATTGTGTACTGTGCCGCGCGCTTTGTCAATTAGTTCAGCACGTCCATTCTGCTAACAGTTTTTGGTTTCTGTGCTGCTGCTGTTGTGCTTCGAGGGTTTGAAAGCTGCACTGCGCAGTGGGCTGTGTCAATAATCTTGTGCCTCCCTTTACAGATGTTGCCAGCCAGAGCCAAGTTTGACTTCAAGGCGCAGTCTCTGAAGTGAGTTCAACCATTTAACTTCCAGTTATAACAGCAGGGCAATCTTGTGGGTTCTGGGCAAATGCAACTCTTGCTAATTCAGCGAGCACGTGTCCCCAGGCCAGCCATGTGACCACAACTCTCAACTTGCGCCAATCTCATTCCAGGAATTCCATTTTCCATTCCCCTCGTTGTCTAAGTGCCACGTTTAGTAGGTAGCTTTGTATAGTGACCAGAAATTCGATCATGATCTTCTAATCTCAGAGCCCGTACATAGAGATGGACTTTGTCGTAGATTGAACTGGATTTGTACCAGGATCCCAGCTCCCTGATTGAATTTCAAAATACCCAGATCTTTATAAACAAGAGGAGTTTCATGCACTATATTAATGCAAGTGATTTATATCTCAGTACTGTGTGGTTTGCATGAGGGTCCATTCTCCTCTTTCATGCTGCAGGCTGTGCCCCACACTCAGCTGAGGCCCTGAACCACACTCTAGCAGGTTGTGCACTGCCTCTCTGAGGGCTTCTCAACTAGACAGGAAGGATCATGAGTCCATGCTGCACAGCACAGACATGTCCCAACACAAAGCACAGATGGGGAACAGGATCTGGAGTGGTTGAAATTTTCCCTGCCCTGTTCAGAAAAACTGTTTCCCACCCACACCCCCCCCCCCCTCCCCCAACAGGACTCACTTTTTCCCAAACGCACCAGACTTCTTCAGTTCATCATGTGTATGCACACACTAACCTGATGTAACAAAGGTCCTGTAACCAATTGCCTCTTGACCCTGGTCCTACTGCCTGTTTCTGTATCATCAATATTGTCTGAAATCTTGTTTTGTACCACAACACATTGCTGCTATGGCAACTACTGCTGCCTTAGTATGGTGCAGGCATGATGGAGCAAATGATCATCTTCTGCAGTATAACATGTCTGATTCTATAGTCTTAACCTCCTCACCTCCTGTCTGTCTGTCTCTCCCTCTGTCTGTCTGTCTCGATTTCGACATGCCCCTCTTTGGGATTTTGGCCTCAATTTTTCTGTCACATCCGAAAGTCTCTGCCTTTCCATCCCCAGATCATCGTCATTTCTTCCACCACCCATCCCATCCTCACCCAAACCTTCCCCCTCCACCCCCCCAACACCCCATCTGGGGGTAGGATTTATCCCCTATGCCCATGCCACTCCAGAAGAGAGGCTGCGATCAGTGACTTGTGCAGCAAAGGCATCTCGTCAGCTCTGCTCCCACTTTCTGTGCTTTCCTTCTGCTAATGGTGCCTGAACCATGGGGGGGAATTCCTCAACAGTATCAACCACAAAGCCCATTCCTGATTACAGACTAGCTCCTGTTGGCCCCATTCAGAGCCTGGTCCCATCCAGAATGATTGTCTTTATATGACTGCTTTTAGCTCATGGCCCAGTTCCCTGTTCAGAATCCCATGTCGGATTACTGTGACCGAACTAGAATCATGCCAAAAGGTTTGGGAAAATCTGTGTGGGATCGATGGTGGGATTGACTCTCTGTTGTGTTGAGGCTGCTGCTGAGCAACTTTGAAACATGGAAATGGGAGCAGGAATAGGCCACTTGGCCATTTGACCCTGTTCCACCATTCAAAATGGTCGTTGGCTGATCGTCCAACTCGGTCTCCGTTCCTGCTTTTCCCCCTACACTTTAATCCCTTTAACCCTGAGAACTATATCTAACTCCTCCTTCAAAACTTTGTGTTTTAGCCTCAAACACTTTCTGTGGCAGAGAATTCCACAGGCTCACCACTCCCTGGGTGAAGAAATTCCTCATCTCCATTCTAAACAGCCTATCCCCTATCCTGAGACTTTGATCCTAGTTCAGGACTAGGGTAAGCACAGGAAAGATAGTCCCAATCGAGAGAGTCTCAGAGAGAACATTTTCCCTGTTGTTTTTGGCGTTAACCAGTGTTATGGACCAGACCGAACCCCCGTCCAAATACATTAAGAAGATAGCCTAGAGGTTAACGCTTCCTTATTTTAATGGCAACTACCAGATACTGGATGCAATTCGATTGGTCAAACTACCAGGCTTGAAGCAAAATACGCTTTATTCATACACTATAGTTACAATACCACAAAAGAAAGAAGAAATTGGCATTACTTAACTCTACTGGAAAACTTAACAGAATATTAATATAACAGATTATTTAACTGTTAAACGGTACGTTCCAACATTCCATTAACACAACCTTGACAAAGGCAAATTCAGAAAAAAAACAGATTATCTTATTTGCAACTCCAGCAGCTAGAAGAGAACCCCAGCTTTTAGCTGTGACTGAGAGGTAAAACAGCTTCCATACCCAGCTGCAAGATCCCAGCAACTGCTATTGAAAAATTAAAACTAAAAATCCTGGCTCTGGGGGAGCTTGACCCGTTCAAACTGTTTCTACTGTTTCAACCTTTAAAATAAAACCCCAAGCCTTCACACGCTGTTTAACTGTAGTGGCTCTGAACAGACTACTCGCTACCTCTCTCTCAACCTTTCTTCATTTAAAAAAAACATACAGGACAAAATACACCCCTTAAAGCCACAGTGTCATCACACCAGGCTTCAGCCCCTCTGTATTTGGCTCTCTACAACTCACTATCAAGGGGTGTTATTGGGCAACTGGGGTGTCACATCAAAATCAAATTATTGTTGAAATTTGTGCTCACAAGTCTTTAGTCTCACTGTGAATGGCCAAGAGACACTAACTGTTATGTTTGTTGGACTTAGGGAGCTGCCGTTTCAGAAGGGAGACATCGTCTACATCTACAGACAGATAGATCAGAACTGGTATGAAGGCGAGCATCATGGGAGAGTTGGCATCTTTCCCAGGTCATACGTTGAGGTAAAGTAGCTGCACATGCAGTAATGAGGTGGAAAAGTGAGCGTGAGCCTCTGTTGGCCGATATTGATTTCTGGTTTCCTCATTGCAGCTTCTGCCACCAACAGAAAGGGCCCAACCCAAAAAGGCGCCCCCACTTCAGGTGCTAGAATACGGTGAGGCTGTGGCTCGTTTCAACTTCAGTGGTGACACCCATGTGGAGATGTCTTTCAGGAAGGTATGAATCACTCAGCAACCCAGCTTCCTGGAAGCCTTTGAGTTGTCATGTTCGGCCAGCTGCTCTGAGTGGGAAGGGTGTTGCTGCTCGAGGAATGAAGAACAATTGTTGGTACCTGATTAATTAATAAGACGATAAGATGTAGGAGCAGAAAAAGGCCATTCAGTCCATCAAATCTGCCTTGCCATTCAACATGCTAATGGTTCATCTGATAATCCTCAACTCTAATTTCTTGCATTTTCCCCATAACCTTTGAATACCTTCCTGATCAAAATCTGTTTCAGCTTTGGGTATAATTAATGAACCAGCCTCGATAGCACTCTGTGCGAATAATTCCATGATTTGCTTCCCTCTGGGAGAAGAAATTTGTCGTCCTCTGCCTTAAATGTGCAAACCCTTAGCTTGAGATTATTGCTGTCTGGCCCTAAACTCTCCCACAAGGGGAAACAGTTTTTCCATATCTATGTTGTCAAGTCCCCTAAGAATCTTGTATGTTTCAATAAGGCCCTTGTCATTCTTATAAACTCCGATGAGCACAGGTCCAAACCACTGAACCTATCCGCATAAGATAGACCCTCCATATCAGTTATCAGCCTGATGAGCCTTCTCTGGACTGCCTCCAATCATTCCTTTGTTGAGGGGCCCAAAACTGTTGTCAGTATTTCAACTGTGGTCTGACTAGTGTCTTTTATAATTTTTATAAAACCTCACTACTTCTATACTTTATTCTCTTTGAAATAAAGGCCAACATTGCATTTGCCTTCTCTATTACCCACTAAACTTATTTGCTAACTTTTTGATTCCCCAGTCCCTCTGTTCCATAGCTTTCTGCAGCCTTTCACCATTTAAGCTCCGCTATTTTCCCACATTATATTCCATCTGCCAAATAGTTCCTTGCAAGTCAAGGCAGCTCTGCTCTGAGACAAAATCACACTTTTATACTCTGTCCGCAACAACCATGCCAATCTGAGGAACAGTCCATACTGAACCAGTGTGATTTTATTCCATTTCCCACAGTCATCTCTCTGCAATGAGAAAGTAAATCTGTATCAAATGATGGGTAACTTAATTCTTGGTATCATGGCTGCTTGGAATTTTTAATTTGTATTCATTCTTCTAATATGAGCATCATCGGCAAGAGGGCAGGGCAGCACGAAGGCTCAGCAGTTAGCTGCGTCAGGGACCTGGGTTCGATTCCAGCCTCGGGCAACAGTCTGTGTGGAGTTTGCACATTCTCCCTGTGTCTGCGTGGGTTTCCTCTGGATGCTCCGGTTTCCTCCCACAGTCCAAAGATGTGCAGGTTAGGTGGATTGGCCATGCTGAAATTTTCCGTAACGTTCAGGGTGTGCAAGTTGGGTGGACTAGCCATGGGAAATGTAGGGCTAAGGGGTGGGGTGGTCTTCAGAAGGTCGGTGTAGGACCTGATGGGCTGAATGGCCTGTTCCCAGACTGTAAGGGATTCTAAGACTGAGAGAATGATGGTCAACCACCTCCCTCCATCAATTCAACCTCAGTTGGAAAGGTGCTTTCATGATGCTGTTCCACGGGTCACTCCAAGTTTTAACCAAGGATGATAAAGGGACAGCTTTATTACTGCAAGCCAGGATGGTCAGTAGCTTGGAGGGGAACTTGCACATTGTCCTTCCCGGGATTGAGAGTTTGGAAGGTGTTGTTGGAGGAATCTTAACAAATTGCTGTTGTGCATCCTGTAGGTAATATACACATTAAACCATTAAGCTTCAACAAGGTTGCCATGTATAAGTCCCCTTTAAAGTCAAGGCATCTCGATGGGTACGTGAACAGGAAGGGTTTAGAGGGATATGGGCCAAATGCCGGCAAATGGGACCAGATTAATTTTAGAATATCTGGTTCGTGTGGATGAGTTGAACTGAAGGGTTTCTTTCCGTGCTGTATAACTCTATGACTTGCTGACTCTAAGTCCCTTGGCTTGCGACAAACAGTAGGTAGTTGCTGGAGATAGTAAAGTCATACGACAACTCAGCAAGTGATGGTTCGATACTGTCACTGTACTAGTAAATGCAGAGAGAAACACCTCCCCATGTTGACTAGTGCACTTTAAATTCACTGAATCAAATCTGGAATCACGGGTTTCCATGACGACTATCGTTAATTGTTGTGCAAATCATATCTTCCTTTTAGGGAAGGAATCGGTGTTGACCTGGTCTGGCCTCCATGTGACTACATAAACACAGCAATATGCTCTTTTCTTAACTGCGCTTTGAAATAGCTGAGCAAGTCATTCAGTTCAAGGGGAGGTGAGGATGGGCAGCAATGCCCATGGCCAATGGAGGAATAAGCGACATAGTTGGGTACAGAATACAGTAGCCAATTTGCACATAGCAAGCTCCCATTGACTATAATGCGATAATCAGCCTACTTATAAATATCAGTTAAGGGCTAGATATTCACCAGGGCATCAAGGAGAACGCTCTTGCCCTTCTCTGAATGGTGCCACAGGATCTTCATTAGCTACCTGAGAGGGTAGATCTTACATCAGACTATGGTTCCTCTCATTGTGTGGCAGAATCCTGGTACTGCACTAGAGTGTCGGCCTGGATTTAGATCTCTCAGCTTTCCAAAGTGAGACTTGAACCCCCAGTCTCCTTTCTCACTTTTGTGGCTGTTCCCCTGCCAAATATTTCCCATCAGGCTCTAAAAGGAGAGTTGGCCGAATAGTGTCAGTCTCTGTCAGACCAATGAATGGGAATGTCCCACTCAATGCAGAACCGAGAGCTTGAGTGAGATTGGAACTGACATACAAAGTTGGGATAAGTGAGGGGCCTTTTGCTGTTGTGACCATACTCCAGAAAGGCTTGACCCTGTGTGTCAGGAAACAGAATATTCTATTTCTCAATAATAAGTAGAGGATATAAAGCAGATGGGCACTGCATCTCTATTAGACTTCAGATGATCTTAGACTGTTTGCGACAAATCTTCATGCTGTAATTCCCTGTCATAAGGAGCAGTATGTCAGAGGAATAACATTGAAAGGAGATTGAGACAAAGGAGTAGGAAGAAGTGATGATGTGATGAGATGAATTTGATGAAAGACGTGTGTACAAGGTATAAACTCCAGCACCGGAGTGCGGGTCAAATGGCCTGTTTTGTACATTCTACGTGACTCCAGACAATAACTGGCCTCCTTCCTTCTCTGCAGGGCGAGCGAATCACACTCATAAGAAGAGTTGATGAAAACTGGTACGAGGGCAAAATCTCGGGCACAAACCGCCAGGGCATTTTCCCTGTCACGTATGTGGATGTGATTAAGAGACCCAGGGTGAAGAATGCAGTTGATTACCCTGATCCCCCTGGATCTTATTCCTCAAATCGCAGCTCAACGAGCTCCCCGCAGGTATCGTTTCTCTCTCTAAGTAAGCTTTGAGCCCCATCTATCGTCCAATGTGTGTATTACACCTGATCCCAAATACCTCTCTTAATGCCTAAAATAATTTAACTGTCCACAAAGGGTCTCCACCCTCCGATCTCACCTTCGCTCCAGTTTTTGTTCCTAAACCCTCCTTTTCGGCTCTTGGAGTTACAGAGGTCATTGTAATTGAGAGGCCGAAGGGCAGTTTATTAGCAAAGGTGTGCTTACATTGGCTAATGCAAGTTAACCACTGGATCTTTTCCCCTCACCCCCAACCCAGCAGAAGGGTGATTCACTGAAGGGGGGTTATTGGGAGGCAGCGGAGAAGATTGGGTACACAATACCCTGCTCCACAGCTCTGTATATTCCATATCAAGGAAAATCAATATCCCGAAAGTATGCCGAGTAAGTAACTGACCAAGAATCAGACCTCCTGTCCCTAAATGAGGAAGGGGATATATTGCCCAGGGTTCCTGCTCTGCACTGCAGGGTGTCCCTGTAGATATGGTGGGACCGAGCTGCAATGGCCTTCCACGGTCGAACAGCCTGATCATGCTCTGAGACATGAATTACAGTCTGGGCAAGGTAGGGCTTTTGGCCTCTCTGTAGTGGAAGGGAGCACTTTTGGGACAGGAGAGTGGTGTAGAAGGCCAGGAGAGAGCAAAGATTCTGCCTGATAAATGAGATTAGTATAAAAGCATGATTGGTTGTCACTCACTTAATGATGGATAGGCAGTACCATTTTCATATGTTTTTTTTAACAAAGTACAATATTCCATTTCTCATCCTTTTTAAAATGTTCAAATTCCTATCAGCTTGACTTATTTTTCGAATCCTGCAATCTTTGCCTGTTGTAGCTGTGTAAAGGTCTCGCTTTGCCTTGCTTTCTCTATTTGTTCATTTCTTCCTTTCCTCTTCTGTTTTAAGTTCTCTGGTAATTCTGCTCGTCCCACACCATCTCCTCCTCCTGTTCCACCTCGCTATCGCAGAGTGCTTTCTCCAGATGTGCAAGCTGTGACTTCTGACTGGATCACACTGACGATGGGAATATTCCCGAGCCACACTCCTCTTGTGACTCCTCCGTTGCCTCCTCTCCCTGAAGGCTTCTACACTGACAGGAACTACCTTAGCACCTCACTGGAGAGCAGCCCTTCGCTAGCAGTCAGCCCTCCTCCCTTGAAAGAATTTGTCGATTCTATGCCTTACTCTAATAGATCACCTTTGCCACCACCTCGATCACAGCAATCTGTGCGGAGCATCACTTTTAGCACTCCCCTCAGTGAGGAACCCATTCAGTTTACACCATCTCCCACCTTTAGTTGTTACGATTCCTCCCCCCAAGAAGCCTCACCACCTCCTCCAGGTTCAAGTCAGCTCGGTGTGGCCGACGGTCTCTCTGCTGTGAGGAACAGGAGGTGTGAGGGTGAAGCAGTGAATCCTTTGACTGTTCACGTGCCCAGTCTGGGTGGTGTGCCCAACAAGGCATCAGATCTGGGCACATGGTCCAAGAGCCCAAAGGAAGGTCAGTGCCCTGCAGTTAGCTGTGAGCTATCCAGGGAGCTCCTGCGGATTGTCCAGGGAGGTAGTGAGCGCGACCCGGAAGGCACCAGCAATGGGAAACCAGCAGAAGCAACAGAGAAGGTAGCTGCTACTGCATGATGGTGTGTTTGCGTTCAGTTTCTCCCTCACTGACAGCATAGTGTGGCATTGTGAAATATTACCAACCAGCTACTAATATTGGAAACTGTAGTTCTGAACTGAACCTTCCCTCACCAACTGTGGCAATCTACTGTGAAAAAAGTCACTTTGTCTACCCCAGTTCAACACCAGCACCTTCGCAACATGGCTACCATCTACTGCGAAGCGTAGACACCAACTTCACTTGGCACATCCTTGGTGCCTCTCTAACTCCCTTCCTGCCTTTGGCCAGGTCCAAATGAAAGGTCAGTGAAGTCTGCAGCCATCTTGAGCAGGATCTGAAATGTGCAACAAGTGAAGCTAATGTTAGGGCAGTGACTGTAGCAGGCACTTCTTATGTAAAGACTACTTACTCAATTGTTAGTTAGCAGCGATCCGAGAGCTCAGCCTGCCCAGGCGGTGCATGTGTTGCTGTGTAGACTGTTGTAGGGATATTGTGACCTCGCGTTGGAGTGAGCATACCTGTGTCTGCCCTCTGGAGGAGAGCCAGGTTCCCACTTTTTTTTAAGTTAAGGGCCATCATCTTGAGTGCTCTTCAACCTGCAGTGGCATGAAGACTTTCACCATCTAAAAAGGCTGTTTCTGTTTTCTTTCCTCCAACTAACTGTGTGATCTCACTGTCAGGAATGTTTGGTTTTTTTAAGCCTGTACCCATTGGTTGTTCACTCAAAAAACTGGCGTGCTGCACATTTAGAGTGCATGGCAATTTTTCACAATTATTTTTATTCTTCTTGCTTTTCACTTCCCTTTTGCCGTGGCTCCTGCTCACTGCCTCATCCTGTTCCCTGTATTTCTCACTCAGTCCTTCCTCCCTCTCACCTGCTGTTCAGTGTTCTCTGACACTTTCATTGACATTCTCCCTTTATGTCCTTGCTATTTCCCAGAGTCCCTCTTTCCATCTCCTGTGTCTCACTGTCAAATTTGCTTTTCTCTCTCTCTTGTATTCTGAATTCCTCATGGGATTCTCTTTTTAGCGCACACCCCACCCCCAAACAACACCCTTCTCTCACATTTTTTCCTTTTCTCACTCTTCCTTCAATCTTCTCTCTCTCTCTCTCTCTCTCTCTCTCTCATTCCCTTCTCTTTCACCATTCCCTTTTTATTCTCTCTCTCACCCCACTCATGTTCCTTTACTCTCTCTCCTTTCTCTCTCTTCACCACCACCACCACCATCCCACACCCCCCCCTACCCCTCCGTTCCTTTTTCTGTCTCTCTTCTCACCAACCCCACGTGCTCGCTCTCGTGCTCTCTCGCACCCCTTCCCTCACCCCCCTCTCTAGGTTTCCTTTTCTCTGTCTGTCTGTCTGTCTTGCCTTCTCGCCCCACTTCTCCCCCCTTACACCCCTCTCCACCCACGCGTTCCCTTTCTTCCTCTCATGTTCCATTTCTCACATGCCATCTCTCGCCCGTGCCCGCACTTGCTGTCTTTCAATCTAACTCTCTGTGCCTTGTCAAAAATACTAAGATGAGTTTGTGTCCTTTCAAACACATTAGCCAAACTCGAGAACTGATAGTGGGCTCGGAGGAAGATATGCCAGGAGTCCGATTGCCTTTTCTGGTTCTCCAGTTAGTACCCTGAGCTCGGGCTCTCTTGTGGTAAGTGACAGTTTGATTATTGCTGCCTTCATTGTGTGCTAGCTCTGAATGGGGACATTCTGAGGCACAGGAGACTTCGATATTATCCAGTAGACTAAAGGGATCCAAGACCTGAGGGTTATCCTGACCACTTCCTGACCTTCTCAGTAGTCATTTCTCACCTATTAGAGACTGGGAGGGATGTCTGGGCCTGGAATGAGGTTTGAATCTTAATTTAGAGTTCTCTAGCTGACCTCAGTACCTTGCCCAATGTAGTTAGTAACCCTGATAGCCATTTAGTGACATCTCTAGAATCATTAAACCATACAGTGCCCAAGATGCCCTTCAGCCCATTGAGTCTGTATCACCAAAAATACATTACTACTTACACACGGTCCCACTTCCCCACACTAGGCCCATGGTCTTGAATGTTATGACAGTTCAAGTGCTCATCCAAGTACTTCACAAAGTTTGTGAGGTCACCACCCTCCCAGGAAGTGTGTTCCAGACCCCCACCATCCTCCAGCTGAAAACCTGTTTCCTTCAATGCTCTCTCAGTATCTTGCCTTTCACTTTAATGGTGTGCCTCATTATTCTTGATGCTTTGACAAAGGGGAACAGCTGCTTTCTGTTCATCCTGTCTATGCCCCTTATAGTCTTATAGTCCTTTATCAGGTCACCTGTCAGCCTTCTCTGCTGTAAAGAAAACAACCCAAGCTTATGCAGCCTGTCTTCATCGCTGAAATGCTCCATCCCAAACAACATCCTGGTGAATCTCCTCTGCACCCGACCAGTGCAATCACATCCTTCCTATAGTGCAGTGACCAGAACTGTGCACAGTACTCTAGCTGTGGCCAAACCAAAGTTCAGTACAGCTGTAACCTAACCTTGCTGCTCTTATAATCTCTGCCTCAACTGATAAAGGCAAGTGCCGCCTTAAATACTCTATTAATCTGCCCTATCACCAAGAATTTGTGGACAAACATACCCAGATTCCTCTGTTTCTCCACTTGTAGTGTCCTGCCACACTAGGAAGGTGCCTGTATGTTGTTGTCAGTATGATAGGAGTACCATTAGCAGTGATAACCCCAAATCCTTCTGCCTTTTCCTCTTTCTTCCATGCTCATTGGGAAATTGCATTTCTGTAGCGCCTTTTGTGGCCTCAGCAAGTGTCTTACAGCCTTTTAAATCCTTTTGAAGTGCAGTCACTGTTGTGATGTGGTGACAGCAAGATCCCCCAATCAACGGAGGCAATGGCCTAGTGGTATTATCGTTGGACTGTTAATCCAGAGACCCAGATAACATTGAGGATCCGGGTTCGAATCCTGCCACGGCAGATGGTGGAATTTGAATTCAATAAAATATCTGGAATTAAGAATCTAATGATGACCATGAATCCATTGCCGATTGTTGGAAAAACCCATCTGGTTCACTAATGTCCTTTAGGGAAGGACACTGCCTGCCCTCTGAGTAATTAGGGATGGACAATAAATGCTGTCTGGTCAGCAGCGTCCTCATCCTGTTAATGAATAGGAGGGAACAAAACAGATTATCTGGCATCAGTGTCATTTGATCTTTGGCCCTATATCTAACTTCTTTAAAACATTCCATGTTTTGGTCTCAACAGTTCATTGTGGCAGAAAATTCCACTGTCCGGGTGAAGACATTTCTCCTTGTCTCAGTCCGAAATGGCTACCCTGAATCCTTAAACTGTGACCCCTGGTTCTGGGCTTTGGAAATGGCTCTGGACTTCATTTGAGTGGTCCGATGAGTGTGAATTAGGGACCTTCCTAGATAATGGTCAAGCCTGAGTGTGTGCCCATCAGTGCCCCACTGAAGAAAAACAGTTGCATGAGTTTGGGATTAGCTTGTGTACTGGGTAATTCAATGAAGAACGAGGGTCTGTTGGTGATGGTGGAGTTCGGGGATCATGTAGTAGGAGAGGTTATGAAGGTTTAAATTGCAGAAATAAACTGAGGGCGATTTAGTGAGAAATGCCTGTAAAATTTCTATTTAAATGTGTAAAATATTTCAATGAGGAATTAACTTCTCCACGTGTCTGTCATCTCTTCCCTTTCATTTCGTCATCCGCATCCCCTCCCATCTCGTCGCTTGACTGCCATCTTTTTGATTTTAGCTCGTTATTCTCTCGATTATAGAGCCCTGAAAGTTGCGAGATACCATTCCCTGCTCTCTGTGCTGTCACTGTACCATCCTTGTCTGTGAAGCTTACAGGGACTCAGTCAGTTTGTTACATAACAGCAGTCGCTTCTCTTGCGTTGCCTGTGTGAAGCCAATAACACATGCTGCAATTTTTCCCTTTATAATTTGCCTGATGACCACCAGCCTTCTCATCACTCATTGCGAGGACCAGATCTCACAGAGTCTGAAAAGAGCTACGTGGTAAGAATCGATATGTAAATGCATCACTCGGGGGCCCGCATGGGGTCAGAGCATATCTGAGCTTGGAAACCAACGAGTTGAACTAATACTGATAACTGTGTAGAGATTAGGTTTGAGCTGTTCTGGGATGTGCTTTTGAAATGGTAGATGTTTAGTGGTGAGAAATTGACCCCGAGTTGAGTGGTTTGTATACAGCGTTGGACCAGTGCATGGAATTCTGTGCTTACAAGTAAATACAGTATTCATAATCAGCATGATTCTTAATAGTGAACACTAACTACTGCTTCTGTGTGTCGCACTTTTTTTAATCCTTTGAATTAAATCTGCAATTCTTCTATATCTTTGCCTGTTTTTTTCCACGCTTACCTCTGGATTACTTCTACACTCCGCTGCGATTTCCTGGATCTCCAATTCCCCGTTAACTTGCTGGAATCCCCATGATGCCTTTGGAATGCTACCCTTCTTCCCGCCCCCCCCCCCAAAACCCCCTCCTCTCATTTCCTTTCTGTTGGTTTGCCCCCTTGATGCTGTCGAACGGCGCGACTGGCAGGAGGCAGTCTGCAATGAGATCATGAACATTGCAGAAAAGTCTGTTCATTACTGCAGTAACCTTTCTCACCCGCTTCACTCTCGGCACAAGGTGTCTGCCCACGACAGTAAACAATCTTTGATCATTTCTCAGCAACCTCGGGGACAGCAGCAAGGGACGAGCCCGGAGAGGACCCTGGCTGCAACAGCCCTGTAAGTACCCACCCCGATCCGTGATTCTGGATTTTTATCAGCCGTTCCACAATCGAAGACCATGCGGTGTCCTAGTGACTATGCTGTGTACAGCTCCAGATCGTCTCCCAGTCAGTAGATGCTGTGCTGAGCTTAGGAGCAATTGTAGAGATTTATGGCACAGAATAAGGCCCTTCAGCCCATCACATCCAAGCCAATCAGAAGTATTCCAGCCCTGTTTTCCGACACTCTGTCAGTAGCCTTATAACGTAGTTGGGAACTGATCTTGCAAAACTAAGTGGTTGACATGGTGGGCGATTCCTCATTCCTGTCACTTACTCCTGACCATTTTTCTGAATGGGCTTGATGAGAAGTGAGATATATGGGGATAGTATTTGGCTTTGATCTAATCTGGTTTAAAGGATGCTGTTGGCTTGCATCAATATAGTGCCATTAGTGCAGGAAAACAATCCTAGTTATAATGAAAGAAGCCAAGGGACAAAAAACACAACCCCTCCACAGAAAGGTCATCAGAATAAAACTGGCATTCAGCCAGGAGAGGATTTGAATGTTAAAAGTTGGTCAATGAAGAGGTGATCTCATTGCAACTTAAAAAACACATAAAGGGATCAATAGGGTAGATGCAGGTAGGTCATTCCCCTATTTGGGGAGTCTAGAACCGGAAGCAGAGTTTAAAAAATAAGGGGTCAGGTCCAAGATGAGAAATCTTTTTACTCACAGGGTGGTGAACCTTTGGAATTCTCTACCACAGAGGGCTGTGGAGGCTCAATCTGAGTATGTTGAAGGTAGAGATTGATAGATTTCTTATTATTGGTGGCAAACAGGGTTATGGGAATGGGGTGGGTAAAAGACATTGAAGTGTTTGATCAGCTATGATCAGTATGAAATAGCAGGGCAGGTTCGACAGGCTGAATGGCCTGGTCCTGTTCCTTCCAAAGTAAGGTATAAAATCTCATGTTGGAGGATCAAGAGTTCTTAAGGATCAAGAATGGGCAGTTTGAGCCTGTTGCACTAAGTTAGCTGATATGAAGTGGTCTCAGCTCCATTTGCTTGGCTGCCCCTATTTCCCTCAACTCACATTTTAAGTTTTTTTTTAAAAGAAAAGCTACCAAATTCTGCCTTAAATAAATTTGAGGATCTAGCCTTCACTGCTCTTTAAGGAAAAGACTGTTAACCCTTGAGAGGGGAAAAAAAAGTATCATCTCATGCTTAAAAGGACTCTCCTGTTCTTAAACTGTGTCCCTCAAAACTGTAATTGACTCAATGTGAAAATAAGAGGGCTCCCTTTTTAGATGGAGTTGAGGTTCGAAAGAGACAGAGGTGGCATTCCGGAGACTGGGCAGCTGAAAATTTGATTTATAATTCTCACAGGTACAGTGAAAGGTTTTGTTTTGCGTGCAGTACTGGCAGGTGATACCGTACAAAGTGCATTAGGGTACTAGAACAGAGTGAGGAATACAATGTTACGGCTGCAGAGAAGGTACACAAGGAATGAGATCAACATTAGATTTAAAAATTTGAGAGGACTAGTTTTGGAGAAGCTGGGGGTATTCTCCCTGGGGCAAAGGAGATTGAGGGAGAATCAGGTCAAGATTATGATGGCCTTGACAAGGTAGACTAGAAAACTGCTTCACTTTAGCTGATGACACAAGGATGAGGGGACACACATTTAAGATTTTGATAAAAGATGCAGGGCAGGATTTGTGAGGCAGATCCTTTTTTTACACAGTGAGCGGTAATTACCTTGAACATGCTGCTCATGAGAATGGCAGCAATGGATGATTTCCAAAGGAAACTACCAACACAGGGAGAATAAGCAGGGATGCAGCGGGAGAATGACTTGAGCATGGGCTCAGTGGGGTCAAACAGTCTCGTTCTGTGCTGTTATGAACAATAGCTTTCTCGCTGAGAGAATGTTTATCCCCGCTTGTCCCCTGAAGCATCCAGGACAGGATCACCTTCCTCTCTGAAGACCGCACCAGTGAGGTTGGGGAGATCAGATTGTGCAGGGGAGACCCAGGTTGCCCTGAACCTAGCTCCAAATGCAGTATCTTGTTGGTACAATGTTGTTGGGTGCACCAATTGTCTAGATTTTTACAGCTTGGTTTCAGAATGTTTTTCTCTCTCCTTCCCTCTCTAAGCTTCCAAGCGTTGTACAGCTACGTCCCACAGAACGAAGATGAGCTGGAGCTTCGAGAAGGGGACATTGTGGACGTGATGGAAAAGTGTGACGATGGCTGGTTTGTTGGTGTGTAGGGGATCCTCCTGGGACAGAATCCATGTGGGAGGAAAGAATAGGACTGTTGGAGCCATTTCAGGGCTTTGTGGGATGGGTCATAGCAAATTCTAAAGAAAGAGATGCCTTGTATTTACGTAGTGCCTGCCACATCGTCCCGTTATTCTGAAGCATTTCAAACTGATTTGTTACTTTTGATGTGAAGCACCCCGCACCCCCACCCAACATCAAGGCAGGATATCACAATAGTAATGACCAAACTACTTTAGTGGTGGGGAATGGGAGTCTCTGATGCTCACATCCATCTGTTGCAAATCTTTGGGACACTCTTGTCATTTTGATAATCCGGCCTGGCCTGAGACATGTGCTAACTGTACATAGAGCAAGCATTGAACCTGGGCCCTTCCTCTTCTTCTGGTTCCTTTTGGAATAGGTTGCACTCCCCCATAGGTCCTTTGCAAAAAGGTGAAGTCAGTCACCGTGTTTGCTGAACAATATACCTCATGGTTTAATCACATTCGAGCAATCTGTTACTAACCTGCAGCCATATACCACTCTCAAAAATAAAACAGAGAAAAAGCACAAACACATCTGTGATTCTACATGTTGTAAAAACCCCCCCCCCCCCCCGCCCATGCATTTGCACAAGCATCATTTACGAAAAAAGAATACATTTCAACCTTTAGCTAATGAGGAAATCTGGAGAAGCTGGGGTTGGTTTCCGAGGAGCACAAGGTGCTCGGGGTGACCTCTGTTTATTTTGTTGACGACCTGAGCATTGTTGGCTGGCCAGCATTTACTGCCCGTCCCTAGTTGCCCTTGAGAAGGTGATAGTGAGCTGCTGCTTTGAACTGCTGTAGTCCATGCACTGTGTAGACCCACAATGCCCTAGGGAGAGAATTCCAGGATTTTGATGCAATGACAGTGAAGCAGTGATATTTCCAAGTCAGGATGGTGAGTGGCTTGGAGAAGGAAATGTATTCCCATTTATCTGCTGCCCTTATCCATCTTGGTGGTGGTTCTGTGTTTTGGAGATGCTGCCCAAGCAGATTTGGTGAGTTACTGCAAAAGACAGTATACACTGCTGCTCCTGAGCATCTGTGGTGGAGGAAGCGAATGTTGAAGGTGGTGGATGTGGTGCCAATCAAGCGGGCTGCTTTGTCCTGGATGGTGTCAAGCTATTTGAGTGTTGTTGGAGCTGCACACATCCAGGCAAGTGGGGAGTATTCCATCACAATCCTAACTTGTGTTTCGTAAATTGAGGTCATAGTCATACAGCACTGAAACAGGCTCTTCAGTCCAACTCGTCTGTGCCCAACCTGACATCCCAATCTTACCTTGTCCCATTTGCTAACAGTTGGCCCATATCCCTCTTAAACCCTTCCTATTCATATACGAATCTAGATGCTTTTTAAATGTTGCAATTATACCTGCCTCCTCCTGCACCCCTGTAGCAGCTCGTTCAAGATGTGCACCACCCTCTGGAAAAAGTTGGCCTTCTTTCCCCTCTCACCATTAAAGCTATACCCTCTAGATTTGGACTCCCCTACACCAGGAAAAAAATCTTGGTTATTCACACTATGTATATTCCTCATGATTTTATAAACCCATCTAAGGTAACCACTCAGCCTCTGATAGGCTAGGGAAGGAAGTCCCGCCCTAATCAGCCTGTCCTTATAACTCAAACACTCCAATCCTGGCAACATCCTTTAGTTGGGAGTAAATTGGTCACTTAATCTATCTGTCTGAGCAGAGGGATCAAAAGCCAGGGGTGTAGACTTCAAGTAAATGGTATAGTGAATGGAGAAGAGATGAGATTTCTTCTCCCCCACCTGGAGGGTGGTAGAACCCTGGGCTGCATTGTCTTAGAGGGAGCTAAAATCTGAACCTTTGTACAGTACTTAGATATCCAGCTGAGGAGCTGTGATCTTCAGTGCTGTGTGGACCTGGTATAAGAAGGTGGCATTGGACTGGATAGTTCTACTTAACCCAGCATGGACTCGATGGGCCAAAAGATCTCCTGCTACATTGCAATTCTTCTGCGATTCTCTTACGTCCCTTTTGCAAAAAATTTTGTAGGTGATTGATTTTCCCAGAAACATGCAAGGACTTGGAGGATGGAGTTTTGAGGGCACTATGGCAGTGGCAGAACCACTGGTCTTAATGACTTTTTCCTGTTCCCAGCTTCAAAGTACAGTCATTGTTGATTTTTAAGGCAATGCAGTAACTAAAGTGTGTGCCTCAAGACCCACAACAGAAATGTTATTGTTAACCACATCATCTACTTTTCAGGATGGTGGTTGAGGGATTAGTCCTGACCAAGTGAGGTGGCAGATTTCCAGAGCTCTGCCTTAACCACTGGTTTGGGATATTTTAGCTCAACTTGAGCAAGCAGATGAGGCTCCACCTTATTGCTTTATTCTAAAGACTCTTCCTGCAGTCCAGGGTTTCATTAGTCTTCAGGACAGGGAGCAATGGCTTGACCTCAATCAGTTGGTCACTGGAGGTTTAACCTGCAGGGAGCAGAGCTGGGGAATGGGACTGACTGGGTCAGTATGCACAGAGCCCAAATGGGCTAAATGGTCTGCCTTTGTTTGATAATGACTACTGGTGGAATCTCCTGGCCCCAGAATGGTGAGCATCCAGGCAGGATAAGGAATTTTCAAAATGAAAACATTAGCTCATTTAACCCAACGTGTTTCCACCGCCTGGTTATTTTCACCGAAGCACAGCAGCCTGACAGACTTTTTTTTTCTCAAAGACATTCAATGTTTTGGTCTCAACCACTTTCTATGGCAGAGAGTTCTACAGGTTCACCACTCCCTAGGTGAAGACATTTCTCCTTATCTTTCTTCTGTATCTCAATACCATATTCCAGGTTTTGCCTCATACCCCTTGATGCCTTTAAAATGTATCAATCTCTCTCATGAATAAATCCATTGATTTGACCTCCATGGCTTCTGGTGGCAGAGAATTCCACATGTTTACTACCTTTTCAATGAAGAAATGTTTCCTCATCTGAGTCCTAAATGGCCTGCTCTGTTTCCTTAGACTGTGATGTTTGTCTGTTTCTAGACTCCCCAGTCATCACCTGTCTAGTCTTGCTAGATCTTCCCTTGTTCTTCTGAACCCTAGTGACTATAGTCCTAACCAGACCGAGTCTCTCTTCTTACATCAGTCCTGCCATCCCAGGCAACAGGCTTGAGGTGTCCATGAGGCTGCCTCCTCCTCACACCAGCCCCCTTCTCTCAACAGAGGGCCAGCTGCCAGGCATCCTTTATTTGTATCTAACATCTTCAGTGTTTGCCTCCAACGTGAGACACTTGTGATTCTCCCTCTAATAGTGCATGCTTCTTAAGGCTTGTGGACCTCTTAATGGACCTACATCCTGAATTGAATGGGAGGCCCAAAGATGACCTCTGCTGGGTAACATCGTCAATGCGCCTCCGGTGAAGCGTCGGTGTTCTGTCCCGCTTGTTATATATATGCCTCGGTTTGCTGGGGTGGTTGGCCTCAGTCCGTGTTTTTCAGTGATTTGTACACAGGGTCTAATTCAATGTGTTTGTTGATGGAATTCCGGTTGGAACATCAGGTGTCCAGGAATTTCCTGGCATTGTTTCTGTTTTGGTTTGTGTGATTATGGGTGTGTTGTCCCAACTAAATTCATGTCCCTCGTTGTCCATGCGTAGTGAGACAACCGGAACCCCATCAACAAACACAATGATTTAGACCCTGTGTACAAACCATTGAGAAACAGAACCAAAGATAATACTAAACACCCCAGCAAACCGAGGCTTATAAATAACAAGCGGGACAGAACACCAACACTTCACCGGAGGCGCACAGACTGTTATCTAGCAGGGTGACGAAACTCTTGGCAGTCAAACCCATCAGCTCAGCGAGCAAGTCTACAACTTTGTCCACAACACGAGCTACAAATCTTCTCAAACTTTAAATGACCTTTTGACCTGGCCAGCACCAGGAAGATTCTTAGGTGGTCACCCTGGGGTCTTGATGTGGAGGTGATCCTGACAAACACTCGTGGGCTTATGGGCAGCACTGTGGCTCAGTGGTTCACACTGCTGCCCCAGCGCCAGGGACCCAGGTTCGATTCCACCCTCAAGTGACTGTCTGTGTGGAGTTTGCACATTCTCTCCGTGTCTGCGTGGGTTTCTTCTGGGTGCTTCGGTTTCCTCCCACAGTCTAAAGATGTGCAGGCTAGGCGGATTGGCCATGCTAAATTGCCCATAGTGTCTGGGAATGGGTGGGCCAGTTGGATTAGTCATGGGAAATGCAGGGCCACAGGGTCAGGATGGGAAGGGTGGGTCTGGGTGGGAGGCTTTTCTGAGGGTTGGTGTGGACTCAATGGGCCAAATGGCCTGCTTCCGTACTGTAGGGATTCTATGACTGAAGGTTCTGGCCTTTATCTCTTTTTGAGAAAATGTGAATGTGTTTAATAAACACATCACACCCGTATTTCTGACGTTCCTGTTCATGCCTTAGGGCAGAGGACACAAAATGATTATTGTGAGGGCTGCTGAAGATTTGCATCTACTGATTAATTTTAGGTTTTTGTTTTGGTTTTGAGGAGCTCCTATCTTGTTTTCCTGATTTCATTTTCCAGATGATGCAGTTAACAGTAATACCAAGGATATTGTTCCTGCCTGACGTATGGAGTGTTTAGAATCACAAGCAGAATTAGAAGAATTTTTCAATATTCTTAATTATTAGCCTTAAACTTACAGCACACAATGGAAGTATTAATTTGAGACATTATGGTGTTAACTAATAATTTAGGCAAAGATTAGGAACAAAAGTGGTTATTTTGAAAAGCAATATACACTTTTAGATGCACAAAGTCATAGCCATATAAACACATTTTCCATAGATGTGCAAGGCCACAGATATTATGTCTCTATCCCACATACAGAGAACTGGAACATTTGCATCAGGTAGTTACTACCTTTTTTTTTATTTAAACTGCTTTTCACATTCAAATTTGAGGTTGAAATCTAATAAATGACAAATCCTGAAACTAGAGATTCCACATTCCTTTGCGAGGAATTCATTACCATAACGACTTCAAGTTGTTCTTGCTTCCAGTTAGTTGAGCATCTCTTTTGTTGAGAGGTTTAGACCTGGTCTCCTTCCTTTGCAGTAGCCCTCTACCCCCAGCCCCCTCCTGTCCACCCTGCATCCCTTTGATTAAATTAAACCAAAGTATTAGTGGTTTCTCAAGCATGTGTTCACCTGCTGCACCCTGCCCCCACCCCTACCCCTATATTTTCTACCCTACTGGAAGAGGTATTTCAAATGCTGTAATAGAGGGCCAGCGGGAGGTTTGGTTAGACATCCCCTGAGACAAATAGCAATACAGCGGTACCTGTACCAAAGTGTTGCCCTGGATCCTGTGTTCAAATTTAACATTTTTAAAGTACATTTTTAGTCAACTTTTTCAGACGTGTTGTGACACATCTCTGGAATGTGGGATTTGAAGCTGGGCTTGAGGGATGTTGCCACTGCTGCCCATGACCCCATTGACTCTGAGCTCAGTTGGTATTTGTTGCCAAACAAATTCAAGTATGTTTTATATTTTGTCTCTCTTATTCCAACAGGAACATCCAGAAGAACTAAACAGTTTGGCACCTTCCCAGGCAACTATGTCAAACCACTGAATTTGTAGAGCTAGGGGTCATGGTGGACTTTTGTTGAATAAACAGCTCCTGCCCTCCAATCCAACCCCAACACTGGCAGAGGGTCCGCGAGCTGTTGATTGGATTGAACAGACTGTAACTTGGCCTAAACATTCTGCTTACAACATGAAGTGTCTTTACTTTCACCGAACAAGGAGCACGCTGAGCAAGAGAGAATGTGTGATTGGTATGTGAGCTTAGGGTGTGAGGTTGCTGATACATCGACCGTATTAACCCAGTGGGTGGGCAAGGACTGGATCAGTTGACAAGGGGAAGACAATGCCCATCGTGGCTTAAAGTCGGACTCCCTTTCTACATGGTACTCAGATATACGGTCTGGATGAGAGACAGAACCAGGAGGCTTGGGAACAGCTGAGTCTCTGATTGGGGATAGGGCATGAGATTAGAAGACAAGCCGGCTATTGCGCTGAGCCCTGTCTTTTCACAATGTGGAGAATGGAATGGAACTCTTAAATACAGAGGAATTTCTAGCCAGGGGTAACCCTTTACTGCTTGATGCAGTGCATGTTCTCTGAACCGTCACTTGTAATCTCTCCTTTTTCTACTGCGTGTTTTGGATTGCTTTACTGGAAAACGAACACAGGTAGAATATGCACCTCATTCCCCCTGATGAGGAAATGTCACTCCCACTTTGACAAAGATCTTGCAGCTATCCTTTATTGGCTAATGCTTTTATAGAGCGGGTTTCTTTAACACGTGTTAATAGTCAGTGACACCCACGTAGATCTGCAACACTTCTAGTATTCTTCAGTCACACAACCAGTAAGTATATAATAAGAAAGCACACCTTTCCCAAAAGGGAATCAACCCACTGCTGGGATAAAGCTTTGTGTAAATATGTACATTTGATTTTGTACAAAATTATGTACTTATCCTGTATAGAAAATAATAATTTAACAAAAGAAATTTTAAATGGCATACTGAAAGCAGAGAAACAAAACGGAGCTCTTTTACAATTTATTTGCGAGAAACAGAGCCTCGGTTTGGAAGAAAATGCTTAGCACCAAAACAAAGCACATGCAAATTGTGTTTTTTTTTAAAAATCATCACAGTCTGGGAAATCATCCTCCTCCTTGTCTGTACAAATAATACAACAGCAAGATCACTTTCTGTTTAATGTGCAGATGTATCCCTTCCTCTGTACCAGTAAATCACTGATGGGCTGCAATATGCTGACTGTAGATAATCAAAACACTCATATATTTTATTTCCACTTTTCTGTGAGCTGCAAGTCTTTATAATCATGTGTTGCAGCAGATCTTCTGTTGAGCTATTTTCTTTATTGCCGTGCTTCAGGATGTGTTAATGAAGATAAGAGCCTCTATTGACTGCTGTGGTTGCAAAATGCAATATTTAATAAACTTTATTCAAGCCGTGGATGTGCCTTGCAATATGTGTTTCTGTTTTTATTTATTTACTTTGCATCGTTATGTACAGGCATTCCTCTGTTGTTGGTTGAAGTCCCCAATGATTCCACATCTTTGTGAGGAAACAACAATCGCCAATTGTCTTCCCTTCAACTAAAGTGACCAATTCCTTTTCAAAAGTTATGACAGAATCTGCCTCAACCACCTTTCTGTTCTGGCTGTTTTGCCAGTCTCCTCGAATGGGAGACTTCAGGTTGTCAAAGTTCCACTGTAAAGCTGTCCTCCTTTATTTACTTCATGAAGTGCATTTGTGATATTGAAAATCTCTATTGAGTCACCTCTTGACCTTCTCTAAGGAGGTCATGGGAGCAGGAGTAGGCCATTTAGCCCCTCAAATCTGCTTCGCCATTAGACAAGATCATGGCTGACCTGGTTGTGATCTCAGCTCCACTTTCCAGTGTGCTCCCCATAACCCTGGACACACTCATCTATCAAAAACCTGTCTCACTCAGCCTTAAATAAATTCAATGATCATGCCTCCACTGCTTTCAGTAAGACGATGTCGCGGACTAATGACCCTTGGGGAGAAAAAAATCTTGTCTCTGACTTGAAATTGAGAACTCTTCTCCTCCTTTAAACTAGTTCTAATCTAATTCATTTAGATCAAGAGACAAAACTCTTTCCAAGGAGAAACAAGCAAGCCCTAATGAATTAATCAATCAGACTAACGTTGAACGCAGGACACATTTATGATGCCAGTAATCAAACTGATTTAATTGCTGGACAGTCAAAAGTTGGTATGCACAGCTTGTCAGTGTGAAAGAGAGTATAAGACGACTTCCTTCAGAACAATTAGCTGGCACAGGAGGAGGTTGATCAGTAGCTGGAGATTGAGATGGAGTAGGCTAATCACCTGTTTTGATCTGATTCTCTGATAAGGCCACGTAAACCTGTTCATTTGTGATTGTACGGATAAGATTTTTGCATGTTTTGTCATGTACTTTACTGATGAACATTGGATATATACCATTCTCAGAACTGCTTTGGATATTGATGACCAGAGTAAACCTGATGGACTAGAAAACTGGAAATAAAAACCCATGTCTCTATATCAACTTTCCCTCTAAGCTGTGCAGTTATCTGTGCCGCAGCCACAACAAAATTCCATGTACAGTGATTGATGTCAGCATGCCAATCGATCATAGAATCCTACAGTGTGAAAGCAGGACATTCAGCCCATCGAGTCCACACTGACCGTAAGACCAGCATCCCACCCAGACTCAACCCTGTACCCTATTTCTGTAACTCTACATTTCCCATGGCTAATCCACCTCGCCTGCACATCCTTGAGTACTATGAGGAATTTGGCACCCTAACCTGCACATCTTTGGACCGTAAGAGCAAACTACAGCACCCTCAAGAAACCCATGCAGGCGTGGAGAATGTGTGGAATTTGCACAGTCTCCTCCAGTTGGAATCAAACCTGGGTCCCTGGTGCTGTGAGGCAACAATGTTAACCACTGAGTCATCATGCCAAGCAGAGTATTGATTTCCAGTTCCTGGTGCGACTGTGTGCACAGAACCTGGAGGTCCATGCCACTGGAAAGAAAATTAGAGGGACTACTGCTCTATACCCAAGTCCAGCTTACTCAAAATGAAAGATTTAACTCAATAATACAGTAAAGTATCAGCAGATGTCAGTTTGGATGGGAAAGACCGACACTGGGACATTTCCTGTCCCTCTCTGGTGCCTAATGTGGGATGGCAGGATAGGGCTGGGTCTGCACCAAGTCTCCAAGCTGCAGTTCCAGTGGGGGAGGTTCCAATCTGGGCTATTGAGAAAGATTAGATCCCAGGCTGGCTGAATAATCCAGTGAATACATTGAGGCATCTGTGTAATATTTAAACTGAAGCATTTGAGTGTTATTTTTGGCTGATGTTCTCAGTGCTGAAAGGTTGTAAAGTTGAATTTTACACATTTGCCTTCCCAGACCACTGATAACCTGGACCTAATATTGATGATGGTGGAATTTTCCCACTCTACTCCAGCCACATGATCTTCACTTAATAATCTACAACCTCACTTATAACTAACAAGAAGTGGGTGAAAAGCCTTTAGTGCCTCAAAGATATTTCAAAGGTAAAGTAGGGATAGAGTTTAATGAATACGTATAGAAAGAATACATCTCGACTACGAGGTGGAATAACTATAAATTGGGAATATCTTTGAGATTTAGAACTGGAGAAATGGGCTCAACATATTAAGGGAGGAGCATGGATATTAGAGTTAACTTCTAATACTGTCTGCAGGACTGGAGTGGAAGAGTGTGCAAACATTTGAAGGAGATAGGCCTTTGACAGCGCACAAGTGGTGACTGTCCAGCATGATTGATACAAACTCTGCCCTTGTATTTTGCTATATGTCACTTTATTTTATGTCCTGATCTAGTTCTCTTTTTAAAAGCTCTCAGCCATCCCGATACCAGCTGCTTTCTCTTTGAGTCGGTCAGACATCCCCCACTATACAACTAGAAGTTACTTTTCCCCAACGTCTAGTGGAGGAATTTGGATGATATTTCTGTCATTCTGAGTTCAATAACTAATTTCCTTCAGCCTTATCTGCACTCTCAATCATGTTTCCAGAAGTCTTCTCCATCCAACACCACTTTAGTCATCAAACTTCCCTTCCTAATTAGATCCTTTGAGGTTTGGAAACCTCTTGATATCTCTTCCTGAATATTATTTAAACATCCATTACAAAGTAGGGTGGGCAAGCTGTAGTCCATGTTTCACAGAAACTGTTATTTCTTTGATAAACAAGGGAAGGGACAAAATCCAGCTCTTTAATTATTTTGGCTGCCCTATATAGGCCATGGATCCTATTCATCCGACACTGTGTTGTTCCTGTACTTTTCTCCAAGGTTTTCTCCATTCCTGCTTCAAAATTGAAAGATTTTTTTTAAAGAATAAATCATGGCGGTTCTTACAGAGTGAGCTGTGTTTCAGTGGGTATCATTTGTCACTGGGTCAGAAGATCACACATTCAAGAAAATAAAATCAAATAGTGGCAAATGCTGGAAAAAGTCAGCGGGTCTGTCCAGCAGCATCCATGGAGAGAGTTAACGCTTAGAGTCCAATATGACTTCTTCAGACCTCGAGAGAGATGGAAATGTGATGGGAGTGAAGGTCAGGATAAAGTTAGAGGGCAAGAGAGGTTTGAGATCAAAAGTTAAAAGGAAGTGGTGGCAGTTGTAGAGAGTGACAAAGCATTTGTCCAGGCCAGAGTCTAATAGCAGATAAGGATCAACTGAGTAAAGACGAAAAGAAGATAGACTGAGGTCATCAGTTCACAATCCACTCCAGAGACCTGAGCACAAGATCTTGGCTGACCACCTACTACAGTATTGAGGGTGTATTGTTATCTTTCAGACAGGGAGTTGGCTGCCTTCTCAGGTAAATGTCATACATAGAATCCCTACGATGTGGAAAGACACCATTGGGCCCATTGAGTCTGCACCAACCCTCTCAAGAGCACCTCACCCAGACCCCCACCATGTCAACTCCACATTTAGCATAGCCAATTCACTTAACCTGCCCGTCTTAGGGCTGTGGGAGGAAACTGGAGTACCCAGAGGAAACCCACACAGATATTCACCCAAGGCTGGAATCAAACCCAGGTCCCTGCTGCTGTGAGGTAGCAGTGCTAACCACTGAGCCAATGCACCACCCTGTACTCCATTGGCACATTTTCAAAGAAAGTCCTTCCTAGCTAAGATCATGTTTTAATGGTGATCTCTTAAACAGATTTTATAGTGATTTGTTTTATTTCTGTTTGTTGGACCTTGCTGAGAACAAATTAGCTGTCCTGTTTCCCAAATAGCAACACTTTTAAAAACATAATAAATTGTCCCTAATATGCCTTGGGATATCCTAACATAGACTTATAGAGTCATTGATGTGTACAGCATGGAAACAGACCCTTCGGTCTAACTTGTCCATGCCAACCAGATAGTCCAAACTAATCTAATCCTATTTGACAGCATTTGGCCTATATCCCTCTAATCCTTCTTATTTGTGTACCCATCCAGATACCTTTTACATGTTGCAATTGTACCAGCCTTCATCCCTTCCTCTGGCAGCTCATTCCATACACGCACCACCCTCTGTAAAAAAGTTGCCCCTCTGGTCCCTTTCAAATCTTTCCCCTCTCACCTTAAACTGATGCCTTCTAGTTTGGTCTCCTCCACCCAGGGGAAAAGATGTTGTGTATTCGCCATATTCATGTCCATGATCAGGTATCGGGGATTTATCCGTCTTTATGTGTTTGAAGATGTCCAGCACCTCCTCTGTAGTATGGAGATTTTTCAAGATGTCGCTATTTATATCCCCATGTTCTCTATGTTCCATATTCTTCTCCACAGTGAACATGATGAAAAATACACATTTAGTATTTCCCCCATCTCCTGCAGCTCCACACATAGGTGGCTTTGCTGACCTTTAAGGGGACCTATTCTCTCCCTAGTTACCCTTTTGTTATTATGAATTTGTAGAATCCCTTTGGATTCTCCTTAACCCTATTTGCCAAAGCTATCTCATGTCCCCTTTTTGCCCTCCTGATTTCCCCCTTAAGTACACTCCTACTGCCTTTATACTCTTCTAGGGATTCACTCTGTCTATACCTGACATATGCTTCCTTCTTTTTCTTGACCAAAAGCTCAATTTCTCTAGTCATCCAGCATTCCCTTCACCTACCAGCCTTGCCCTTCACCCTAACAGGAACACACTGTCTCTGGACTCTCATTAAATCATTCTTGAAGGCTTCCCAATTTCCAAGCATCCCTTTACCTGCAAACATCCGCACCTCCACCCCCCCTCCACCGCCCCATCAACTTTTGAAAGTTCTTGCCTAATACTGTCACAATTGGCCTTCCTCCAATTTAGAACTTAAATTTTAGATCTAGTCTATTCTTTTCCATCGCTATTTTAAAACTAATAGAATTACGGTTGCTGCTCCCAAAGTGCTC